GTCATAATATTTGCCATGACCTTTGAACTCAGTTTCACTGAGCTTGGGTGTTAGATATTTGCTCAGTAATAAATTCCTTAAAGAGGGTTACAATGTGTTCATCTCTTATTTTTGAATCAGATATACACTTATTGTACACATGTCAAACATGTTCTTATATAGCTATCTAATCTCCATTCTTGAAGCTGGAAAATAGTAGAGCCAAGTGATGTAGACTTTGTCATGCTTCAACAGCTGGAACTGTACATGGCATACACTCCATCAGCAGGATTGTGGGTAGGAGACTCTCCATCAGCAGGACTGTCGGTAGGAACTCTCCATCAGCAGGACTGTAGGTAGGAAACTCTCCATCAGCAGGATTGTGGGTAGGAGAATCTCCATCAGCAGGACTGTAGGTAGGAACTCTCCATCAGCAGGACTATAGGTAGGATATTCTCCATCAGCTGGAACTGTAGGTAGGATTGTCTCCATCGTACTAGGAACAGCAGAAGAGGGAGGCAATCATGTACAGCTTCACCATAACCAACCTGTCAGAAAAAGTAAACCTAGATTTGGAAAGAACAGATCTCAGAGTTCAATTGACATGAATGTTTGATTGTAGATGTAACCAACCGTCTTATTAAATAAGAAACACAGAGCCGATTCAGAGAAGAAAGCCAAGAGGTCAGAGCTAGGAGCCTCACCCTTCCTGCTTCAGTGATCCTCTTCAGCCGAGAGCTCTCCGAAAAGGGAGCTACTTCCTGTGTGTTTGTCTTTATAGCCTTTCTGTTCTGCCTTCTCATTGGTTGTAAACCCAAACACATGACTGCCTCTGTAGAGACTTCCAGGTCTTCTATGGTTGGGATTGAGATTAAAGGCGTGTGTCTCCAATGCTGGCTGTATCTTTTTACACACAGAGATCTACCTAGCTCTGTCTACCAAGTGCTGGGATTAAAGGCATGCTCCACCACTGCCACGCTCTTGCTATGGCTCTAATAGCTCTGACCCCCGGGCAACTTTATTTATTAACATACAATTAAAATCACATTTCAGTATAAGTAAAATACCACCATAGTTTGATAGAGAACAGAGATCTGTACTTGGAACCTCTTATAATGTGTATGAAAATATAAGATAAACCAGAGCCTTGATTCTTTCTCAAAATACAGCTTTTATTTTAGAACAGTTTGAAGAGGAAGAATTGTTTATGAAATCCTTTTGGCTCCAATGTTATTAGATGTTCAAGCAATATATCATCTCTACAAACATTGTCTGAAACATGTGCTGCTGACAAAGGCAAGTAATAAGCCACTCTCACTTTCTAATTCCCTGAGAAGTCTTAGAACACCTTCTAGTAACATGTATATGTCAGTATAACAAAATAGTAAATTACTAACCATCTTGTACCAGTATTTTTTAGCAAAAAAAAAAAAATTGAACAGTATGTTACAAGTGCAGATATTTCTGTAACAGTGATGCAAGACTTTGAAGTATTTAGTGATGCTAAGAGGAAAGCTATTATTTCATTGAAGGCAGGGTTTCTCAATCTTGAGGAGGAACCAGAGTTTTTAAACTTAGAACATTATGAAGCAACTAGTTCTTTGTGGTGGGGGCTGTGACATGCATAACAGTATGTTCAGAAGGTGTCTATCATCTTCTCACAGATGCTGGTACAATCACCCAGTTGTCACAGCCAGACCTTTCTTCAAATGTGGCCAAAGTTATTTCGAAAAGCAAAATTCTCCTGATTTTAAAACCACAGATCTAAAATTGAATGTGTCTTTTATTCCCCAGAAAGAAAAAAAAATCTTTTATTTAATATAATATCTTCCATGAACCTCCATTGAGTGTTGCTGATTTGATATGCTCTCCCTTTCAATGAATCAAATTCTCTTATGCCTGAATTAGCTTGACCAATTTCATTAGCAATCTCACACCCACTAATCCCATTAATTTACTCAGTGTCAGAGAGTCCCCTTCGGCCTGCAGTTTCTATCAACATCACACTTGCCCTAAGGAGTAGCTTGCATACTTCCAAAAGCCAGGTGAATGCTTGTACCATTGCCAGACTCATACCTGAAAGGAGAATTTCTTCAGTGCTCTTGGTTAAGAAGCAAGAATTTCTTCCTGAAAAACTTCAAAACTCTTTTTTTTAAAATTGATACCTCTATCTGTTTTTTTTTAAATTTTATAATTAATTTAATTTTACATATCAGCCAGGGATTACCCTGTCCTCCCTCCTCCCCCCACCACCACCCCGCCCTCCCCCCAATCCTCCCCCCATTCCCACCTCCTCCAAGGCAAGGTTTCCCCTGGGGATTCAGCTCAGCCTGGTAGATTCAGTTGAGGCAGGTCCAGTCCCCTCCTCCCTTCACCTAGGCTGAGCAAAGTGTCCCAGCATAGGCCCTAGGTTCCAAAAAGCCAGCTCATGCACTAAGGACAGGTCTAGGTCCCACTGCCTGGGGGCCTCCTAAATAGTTCAAGCTAATCAACTGTCTCACTTATCCAGAGGGCCTGATCCAGTTCCATGGGGACTCCTCAGCTATTGGTTCAAAACTCTTTAGAGTACTTGCACTTTGAACTACTGAAAACTTAATAGAAAAAAAAATGTGCAGTAAAGCAAAGTACAACATTCTTCTACATTTTTTCCTTTTTTAAAAAGATTTATTTATTTATTATGTATACAGTGTTCTGCCTGCATGTATGTCTGCAGGCCAGAAGAGGACACCAGATCTCATTATAGATGGTTGGGAGCCACCATGTGGTTGCTGGGGATTGAACTCAGGACCTCTGGAAGAGCAATCAGTGCTCCTATCCACTGAGCTATCTCTCCAACCCCTTCTGCATTTTTTCATCTAAAGTAACATATACACAGTTATGGGGACTGTGGGGTTTTTTAATAGTTGTATGTGACTAGTAACATTTCATAAGTGCATGGGTAAGAATTACGTGTGTACAATAAATCTATAGTAAATTACTTCTCTAACGTATAAATCACAACTTCTTTTCAAGAAAAACTAACCAACCTCACTGGGGTTCTGTGTGAACAAAAAATGGCAATAGATAGGAGATCTCAGCCCAGTAGAAAGAATTATCATCTTGTATGCCATGTTCCATAGAGAGAAGAAAACACAGGTCTTGCTTCACTTTATGTCTTTCCATACAGTTCATCATGTTACTATGAGCAATATTTCCAAAAATGCTTTATTGGGGTTATTAATCTGACCTATTGATATTTCTTTTTATCATAACATGAAGCCCCAGTTCAGGCTACTAAACTGAGAAAGGCTGAGAAATACCAGATTTAAGGGGGGCTTGTTCCAGTCAGTCACTTCTATCTCAATGTAGTATTTCAGCATACAGGCTTTTCCTTGGATTATTTCTTACTACAAATTTGGAATGTCACTGCTCTAATTTAGAACCATGATGTAATTTTAGTTCAATATTTTTTGAAAACAGAATGAGTTGTGTGCAGCAAAGCTCTCACTAGATGCATATAGTTATTTCTCCATGGGAAACGAAACACCTTCCAAAGGAGGAAGGAGGAAGGCCACAAAAATACATACACATATATGTTTGAACATACACACACATTCACACATAGACACACACAAACACACCTTCACAAAGGTTACTCATTTATATTATTTTAAATATAATTTAAATTACAATAATTTATTGTTTCAATGTCCTGCTTTTTACTTGCTACAAGATATATTTTAATTAATACATTCAATGTTGATATATTAGTTGGCAAATATTATATATATTTTTCCTGTATGACATGATTTTTTAAATTAAATTTATTTTACATCTCAACTGCAGTTTCCCCTCCCTCCTCTCCTCCCAGTCCCTCTCTCCATCTCCCCTCAACCCCACCCCCTCAATTCACTCCTCTGCTTCTGTTCAGAAAGGGGCAGGCCTCCCATGGTTATCAACAAACATGGCATATCAAGTTGAGGTAGGACTAAGCATCTCCCCTTGTATTTAGGTGAGCAAAGCAACCCTACATGAGAAATAAGTTCCCAAAAGCCAGTCAAAGCATTAGGGACAGCCCCTGCTCCCACCATTAGGAGTTCCACAAGTAAACCAAGCTACACAATTGTCACATATATGCAGAGGGCCTAGGTAAGTCCCATGCAGACTCCCTGGTTGCTGGTTCAGATGCTATGAGCCTCTATTATCCCAGGTTAGTTAATTCTGGGAGTTTTCTTGTGATGACCTTGATCCCCTATGGCTCCTACAATCACCCCTCCCTCTCTCAACAGGATTTCCCAAGCTCAACACAATGTTTTTAAAACTTTACATATTATGAAGTTGATAAACTGAGTAATTACCAAAGACATTACTTCACATACTTACACTCTCTTGTTGAGAAATCTATTCTCTTAATTTTCCAGATTATGCCTTTTTACACTCTGAGATCACATTCTAAAACCTTACTTATTGGAGAGATTTATTCGAGTCTGGAAACTACATGTGTGTGGTGGGGTATATGTTCATCAACATATGAAGAAAAACTAATGTTTCTGGCTGTTCAAAGGTTCCGTGTATGGCCAGAATTGAAGTGTAGACATTCTTGCCTTTGAACAATGAAGAATGCCTCTGCCTTATCGCAAGATGGTTTCTGAGTAAATTGTAAGAGTGTTCCTAAATACATTGTTTAAAGATGTGGAAATTGGTTATGTGGGGTCAGTATTATCTTATGATTTAGTTTTTTTTTCAGAAATAGGTATGCATAATTATATGTTGGGGGATCTACACAGGATGTTTATGTATAGGATGCTGTGTCAGGGAGCATGTATGCTATGGCACACATGTGTAGGTGAAACGATAACTTTGTGGAGTCAATTCTCGTCTTCCGTCTTTATATGAGTTCCAGGGAATTAACCCAGCCTTTCAGGTTGTGCTGCAAACATGCTCACCCTCTGAGCCTTCTTGCTGACCCTGTGTGCTTGGATTCTCAACCAATTGCCTGAAATAGTAATGATTGTAAAATTCCTTTTTTTTTTCTTTCACAGGATTATACACTCACCATGTATTTCCAGCAGTCTTGGAAAGACAAGAGGCTTTCATATTCTGGAATCCCATTAAATCTGACCCTCGACAACAGGGTAGCTGACCAACTCTGGGTACCAGACACCTACTTTCTCAATGACAAGAAATCATTTGTGCATGGGGTCACAGTGAAAAATCGAATGATAAGGCTGCATCCTGATGGAACTGTCCTCTATGGACTACGGTAAATGTTTTCCTATTGCCTTGCATTATGTCGCCGTTTTGTTTCTTAGTTTTACAAGTGGGCGGAAGGGAGAGAGAAGCAGGGAGGAGATAGGCTCATATGCAGAGTTAACATATCTTTGGCCAGAAAAATCTTGGGCTCTACTGGAGCTCAATGTAGACAACTTTGCCCAGCAAGTGTAAGTGAAAAGTTTTTGTCTTGACCATCAAATAATAAACAAAGTAGTAAAATTTGTCGTCGCCAATAAGTTTAAAGTTATGTCCTTTTTCATCAATTACTTGATTATCTCAGAGCCAATCAAATGGAACTGAAAAGGATTTTGAGCGTTGTGTGTTGTTACTTAATTATGAAAGAAAATAAACAGTTTGTGAAGAAAATGGTATTTGGGGGCAGCTTTGAGAAAAATCATAATATGTTCATTTCCTTCATTTTTTATAGTTTAGCCTCCATATTTAGGTTGATGATTCAATTGACTTATGAACTATTTAGGGATATTTTGCAAGAGCTAAAGGTTGGGGTTTTGTTTTCACCTAGACTTTGGTTCATTTGGGTATCATTTGTTGAAAAAGAATTTTGCTCATTGGATTGTGCTGCTAATGGATCAAATTCACAGTGGGGCCTTTACACACTCAGCTGTGTTCCACTGTTCTTTTTATTTAGCCCTACACAAGGTCATTCTCTTCTAATTCAGGTGGTTCTTAGCCAACTCATGATGGCAAAGTGTGTATGTCTTTTCATGTTATAGTTATATTTCAAGTTGTTTGAAATTTTAGGTTCCTCGTGTGTTGCTAACTTTCAGAATCAACTTGTCCCATCTACCACATAAAGCCTCTGAGTCTATTATGGAGAATGCTGAGTCAATTGGTTAGTATGGGAAGAATTATAAAGTTTTCCAACTTTATAATTATAAAATTATAAAGCTTTCCAACCCATGCATAGGATATATCCTTATTTCTTTGGACTATCTCATTTATATCAGCTGCTTTCTGTATCACAGTATGTTGCTGTGTTTATGACTCAAGTAAAAAGATAATAATACCTTTGACTTAGGTCAGCAATGTTTTACACCATAGTGGGTTTTTTCATTTCATTTTTCTTAGTTATGAAGTCATAAAAATTTTATAAACATTTTATAGATGTCTATTATTACTCTTTGCATAACTGAAAGCTTAGTAATTAAAAAATTGATGTACATTTCAAAATTTACTTCTATTTTTGCCAAATCTGTAGCTAAATTGTGATTTGTTTAAAATTTGGGTATCACCTTAGTAAGTCCTTTTAGAAGCAAAGGGTTTAGAAAAAGCGATGGATTTTGTCACCAGTGCTTTGTGGGCGAACAAAATGTAGCTGTATGTTTGGTAACAATGAAGGTCAAGGTCCCAGTTTAGAGTTTAACTTCAGGCATTTTAGAAAATATTGTCAGCATCTAACAATGGGAATTGTATCAAGAAAAATAACACTGGTGAATTATGAAGTTGAACACACACCATTTTGCAATTTGAAATTCTGTGCTTTGGACATAATGTAGTTGTTGCACATATATATTCACAGCTGACACATTCAAGCCAGTTTTAAAAAATGCAACACGCAGTGGAAAGAGAATCTCTAGATGTTACTCCTGGCTTAGAATTATGGTCATTAATGATTCTGAAGGAAGGAAAGTCACTTTTCTTCAGAAGCATGGCCACTGGTGGGTTCTCCACACCTCAGTAGATTTCATACCCATATAAATATATATAAAATTTTAAGGGAGGACATGAAATTGGAAGGGAGATGTGATGGGAGGGTCTTAGAGGAAATTGGAAGGCATGTTAGGGATGGATGTGATGAAGATGCATTACATAAATGTATTAAATTTTCAAGTAATAAATAAAAAAGAAGAGAAAATTGAGACACAAAAGGCCTAGGGTTTATCTAAGACCACCAAGAAGCAATAGAAGAACTAGGACTAAAATTCAGGTATCCTGTCTCTCAAATCTTAGTTTATCAATTCTATTCCCATTCAAATATACTTAATAGTAAATATTTCCTTCCAAGTTATATGGCACTACTCTTTACTCTTTAAAAACAAACCAAACCTGTATAGATTTTAGCTTATGAGCAGACAATAATGATCACCTAAAGAGAAACACAAACTATGCATTCATTACAGGAATGCCAGTCTCTTTATGGAACACTCTTTCCCCTTAAGGGACTCATCTCTGCTCTGATATATCCCCTTCCTTCTTTTCTGCTTTTTGCTCTTTGATTTTCTCTTTCATCAGATGCCATTATCATCCTAGAGACCAGAAGTATAACAGAGACTGTATGACATCTGAAGCTGGAGGATAGAGGTTGAGCGTGACTGTCACAATTTTCTGATTGTTTGACCTTGAAAAAATATACAATTTTGATGAGCCTAAGTGTTATCATTTGTAGTGATGGCTTAATATCCCCTAACTCATTATTGAGAATATCTTAAAAAGTAGTTAATCTGAGATTGAGTACATAGTATGTTCTATTGTGCTTCATCAGATACTGGAAACTTGCCTTCTGATTGGCTCTCTAATTCCTGGAGCTACTAATGATGCAGTTGCCCAATTAAGAAAACACTCAATTGAGTGCTCCATATGTGTATCCATTCTCTATTCTGACCCTGAGAATAGTTTTCCAGGAGTCAAGGGGGCTTCTCACTGTGCAGAGGAAGTAGCATCTGGATGGAGAGCCAAGAGACTGTCCGCTTAACCAGTCCCTATCCTGAATCAGTCATTTCCACTCCTTGGGCTTCTATCACATTTCATTTATCATCATATGTACTAAATTCTGTTCCCCCTGATTCCTCAGACATAACATTTCCTAGTTGTAAAAATGAAGATCTGCCTGTTTCTCATAAAAGCCTTTTAAAAGAATAGCTATCATTTATCATTCCTAAGCACACAAAGCAGAAAGTCCTTACCATATAACATATGCTTTGGCATCTTTAGGACTGTAAAGTACTGATTTTGTACATGAGTAATTGAGGAAATGACACTGATGGCTTTATCCATTTTCATAAGTCCAGTTAATAGTCGTTGTGAATGGGCCCATATATTAACAAGTAATTTTAGCAATATTGGATTGATGTACCCAAAGCCCCTTTTTAGCCAGCTTTTCCATGATCATAAAACATATTTTTAAATTAAATAGATTTTTCTGTATTCAAATTCAATATGAGATGCTACTTTTAAGTTATATAAAATTACAACATTTTTTTAAAAAAACTATCCTAAGTCAGATTTTACACTCAAGATGTATTACCTAACCCTGTAAGTGCTCTAACAGTATGGTGTCCAATATAGGATAATACTGAGTAAGTAAGTTCCTGTACAACAGATCTCTAGCACACCAATCCATATGCCCTTTGTTCTTGAAAGACTCTGCTGTGACAAAATGCATTGTTCTAAGGGGAAACCCTGCCACCACTATTACATCTTTTTAAACTAGAGTTGATACTCTAATCTACAACCATGAACCTCATATGCACTAAAAGCTGGCAAAAATCATTCATTTTCTTAGCAAGTCCCTCAATGTCACATATCACGTCCTTAAAATTCCCCTTCTTTTCTTCCTTCTTTGCATTTTATTCTGAGAAAGTTTTCCCTCTTCTCTAGGCTAATGTCTTAACAATAGCATCAAATCCGATCATTGCATGATCTCCAGACTCAGCACCCTGTTTTCCTACTTCTTCAGACCTTTCTCTTTATTGATTTCTTCACCTTGGTTTTTCCCTTTGAGTTCTAATCTTCCCACAACCTTGGTTTCCTCTCCTTTCTCACTACTCACTCCCCAGTCTGCATCAGCAAGGCTCTACCCAGGCTACTTGCTTAAGCAGCTCTCCTCATAGTTACTAAGGCCATCGCTCACTCTCTACTGGACTTCTTTGAATGACTTTGATGACCAGCCCTGGCTTGAGGGTTTCTCTTGTGTCTTTAATGTGTGCTGTAGCAGTTTTTCCAGGGTTGACCTACTCACTGAATTGAACAACAGTAAGGAATATTTTGTGATTGAGTATTTGTATCTGAATGCTCTGCCTTTCTACCTGACACACAACTTACTTTGTGCCATTTGTTTTTCTTCCAAAGTAGGACGTCCTCTTGTCCCAGGTGATAGTAAAACCATTGGCATCCTGGTAAATCAGCACAAACTGCAAGTTAGCTTCATCCCTGAGACCTAACCTGTTGCCTCTAACCTGTGCTTGTTTAACCATCTTTCATGCTTACAAACCACTTCTTCCATCCAAATTAACAGCTTCACAATGTATCACTCCTTGACCAATTTTCTTGCTCAGTTTTTCTACTTATTTATTGTTGTCATTGGTATTCTTCCTGCTAGAAGCCCCTCCCCCACAAAATCAGTGGCTTCCAGGCCTATATAAAATTGGTTTCAATTCTCTATCTGGAATCCAAGAACCTCTAGTTGTTTTTCTAAATACCTCTAAGAGATTTCAGGTTAAATTATGCACTGAATATTGAAAAAAAAAGGTCTTCTGGAAATTATAATTTAATGGGGCAGCATATATGCACATTACTGCAACCCTACTGTTTTATTGAAAGGCCCCTCCTTCTCTGCCTGACAAGGGGAGCGCTGTGTCAGTCTCCTCCCCTTGCATAAATGGATGGCATCTCCTCTTCTATATACAGTCTCACTATGTGTGTCTGTTTCCACTTTTTTCCCTTTCTTGAGTTCATTGCTCCTCCTCCATGGTAACTCTTTCCCATTTTCCTTCTTTGTTTTGAAATCCGATCTAAGTTTCTTCCATGAAGATAATCACATTCTCCATAGCCCAGAGGAAAACTCTCATTTCACACAGAACACAATTTAATCTCACCAAAGACCCCTGGGTTTGCAACTCTTTTATGACACGTTAACTTTTGGTGTCTTGGAGCTGATGACTTTTTATGTAAAATAAAAAATGCATAATTGCTGAAAATATAAACTGTATTTCCCCAACCTCTTTCAAACTAAATGATTGCCCAGTAAAT